GTTTCATGAATACCATACCATAATCATGTTAACTTTACGTTTTCTGATAATTTCGGGCCTATCAACACCACCCTTAGCCCCATGTGCTGTCTGTTGGAGTCTTCCTCTAGGTTTGTTCATTCTGCAATAAATATCGAAAAAATATTTAGCTATTTTCCGACATATTTGTCTGTATACGACCGCGCAGGCTTATATTGTTACTGAACTTATATGTATAACATACAGGGTCTCCTTACCTCGCGATGTTTGAGACCATATTGCCCCTATGGACATTTCTGCCATCCCTAACAACAAGAAGAGGCCTCTCCCTGACACACCCACTCAAACCTTGGTGGAATAAATATATGAAAAAACTCTTTTTTGAAGAATAAGTTTGGTTTGGAAATAAAGTGTAGGTATAATGCGATGAATAAGGTTAATTTAGTGAGGATATTAGGATCTTAAGATATAATGCCCTAAGGTAACATAATTATGTTGTATTCACCTCGCATTAGTTGTTCATGAAACGAGACATGACCCGAGGCAGTGGCTCATGCAGAAGAGTAGTCACGACAAATTAAGTTTGAAATGGATAAATTATTCGTGGATAATTTGACTAATCAACAGCATGTTCCCTCTCACACGACGCAGTTTGGCGCTAACTTCTAGTCACAACAAATTATTTACGCCCGACAACACTTAATTTACACCTGACATCACTTAATGGGATTACCTGGCGAGGAGTGAAACAGCACGATATACTGTGACAAAAAACATACATTACTCTGGGAAATGTAAAGCTCTAAGACTACCCGAGTGAACATAAACGCAAAGGTTCTCTTAGACGCCCCAACCCTTTTGTCAGAGGACATCAAAGCTGGGAACTGTGTAGACCATGATGCTAATATTCACTGGGCGGAAGAGTCTGTTGCTCTGGAAACACTATTATTGTTTTCCGGGTTGAGACACAGGGAGACATATATGACATTTGTAATGCAGATGAAGGTATAGTCAGACTTGGCAGTGGGACTGATGACTTACAGCTAATTAAAAATAGAAAATCGAAAAGTGTTGAAATAGTTAAGTAGAAAAACTCTAACCTGACCTGAAGTGAAGTACTTGTATGATGCATGACGTGTATCTGTGATACAAGACGTGTGGACTGTAATGCATGAGGGGGAGGAGATGGGGAGAGTGTGGAGGGACAGGGAGGAAGGGAGAGGATGGGGAGAGGGGAGGGACAGGGGGAGGGTGGAGGGGATGGGGAGGGTGTGGAGGGACAGGGAGGAGAGAGAGGATGGGGAGAGGTGGGAGGGAGGACAGGGAGGGAGGAAGAGGATGGGGAGAGGGGAGGGACAGGGAGGAGGAAGAGGATGGGGAGAGTGTGGAGGGGACAGGGAGGGGAGAGAGGGATGGGGGAGGGTGGGAGGGACAGGGAGGGAGGAAGAGGATGGGAGGTGTGGAGGGACAGGGAGGGAGGGAGAGAGGGATGGGGAGAGTGGGAGGGACAGGGGAGGGAGGGAGGGGAGATGGGGGAGAGTGGAGGGACAGGGAGGGGGGATGGGGAGACTGTGGAGGGACAGGGAGGGGAGGGATGGGAGACTGTGGGAGGAGGGACAGGGAGGGAGGGACAAGATGGGGGAGTGTGGAGGGACAGGGAGGGAGGGAGGGAGATGGGGAAGTGTGGAGGACAGGGGAGGGGAGGGGATGGGGGAGACTGTGGAGGGGACAGGGAGGGGAGGGACAGATAGGGGGGTGTGGAAGGACAGGGAGGAGGGAGGAGATGGGGGAGAGGTGGAGGGACAGGGGAGGGAGGGACAGGGGAGGGAGGAAGGGAATGGGGAGGGAGTGTGGAGAGACAGGGAGGGAGGAGATGGGGAGGATGTGGAGGGCAGGGAGGGAGGGATGTGGAGAGTGTGGAGGACAGGGAGGAGAGAATGGGGAGAGTGGGAGGGACAGGAGGGAGGGGATGGGGGAAGAGGGAGGGACAGGGAAGGAGGAAGAGATGGGGAGAGTGTGGAGGGACAGGGAGGGAGAGAGGAAGGGGGGGAGGTGTGGAGGGACAGGGAGGGAGGGAGGAATGGGGAGAGTGTGGAGGGACAGGGAGGGGAGGGGATGGGGGAGAGTGTGGAGGGACAGAGGGGAAGGAGGGAGGATGGGAGATAGTGGAGGGACAGGGGAGGGGGAGGAGGGATGGGGAGAGTGTGGAGGGACAGGGAGGAGGGAGGGATGGGGAGAGTGTGGAGGGACAGGGAAGGAGGGAGGAGATGGTGAGAGTGTGAAGGGACAGGGAGGAAGAGGATGGGGGAGGTGTGGAGGGACAGGGGAGGGAGGAGGAGATGGGGGAGATGTGGAGGGGACAGGAGGGAGGGAATGGGGAGTGTGTGGAAAGACAGGGAGAGGGAGGGGATGGGGAGTGTGGAGGAGGGAGGGGAAGGGGGGAGGAGATGGGGGCTGGGGGACAGGGAGGGGGATGGGGGAGGGTGTGGAGGGACAGGGAAAGGAGGGAGGGAATGGGGAGAGTGTGGAGGGACAGGGAGGGAGGGAGGAGATGGGGGAGGGGGTGGAGGGACAGGGAGGGGAGGGAATGGGGAAGGTGTGGAAGGACAGGGAGGGAGGGATGGGGAGAGTGGGAGGGACAGGATGGGGGGAGGAGATGGGGAGAGTGGGAGGGACAGAGGGAGGAATGGGGAGAGGAGGGACAGGGAGGGAGGGGATGGGGAGAGGTGGGGACAGGGAGGAGGAGGGAATGGGAAGAGTGGAGGGACAGGGAGGGAGAGGATGGGAGAGGGAGGACAGGGAGGGAGGGAGAGAATGGGGAAGAGTGTGGAGGGACAGGGAGGGGAGAGGAGGGAGATTGTGGAGGGACAGGGAGGGGAGGGAGAGAATGGGAAGAGTGGGGAGGGACAGGGGAGGGAGAGGATGGGGAGAGGTGGAGGGACAGGGAGGGGAGGGAGGGATGGGGAGAGGTGGGAGGGACAGGGAGGGGAGAGGATGGGGAGAGGTGGAGGGACAGGGAGGGAGGGAGAGAATGGGAAGAGGGGAGGGACAGGGAGGGAGAGGGATGGGGAGAGGGGAGGGACAGGGAGGGGAGGGAGGGAATGGGAGAGTGGGGAGGGACAGGGGAGGGAGGGGAGGGGAGAGTGTGGGAGGGACAGGGAGGGAGGGGAGGGAATGGGGAGAGGTGGAGGGACAGGGAGGGGAGGGGGATGGGGAGAGGGAGGGAAAGGAGGGAGGGAGGAATGGGGGAGAGGGAGGGACAGAGAGGGAGGGGATGGGGAGAGTGTGGGAGGGAGGAAGGGAGGAGATGGGAGAGTGTGGAGGGACAGAGGGGAGGGAGGAGATGGGGAAATGGAGGGACAAGGAGGGAGGGATGAGATGGGGGAGAGGTGGAGGAAGGGAGGAAGGGGAGAGGATGGGGAGAGGGAGGGACAGGGGTGGGAGGGGATGGGAGAGTGTGGGAGGGACAGGGAGGGAGGAAGAGGATGGGGAGAGTGTGGGAGGGACAGGGAGGAGGGAGAGGATGGGGAGAGTGGAGGGACAGGGGAGGGAGGAAGAGGATGGGGAAGAGGGGAGGGACAGGGAGGAGGAAGAGGATGGGGAGAGGTGGAGGGACAGGGAGGGAGGAAGGAGATGGGGAGAGGGAGGGACAGGGAGGAGGGGATGGGGAGATGTGGGAGGGACAGGGAGGGAGGGGATGGGGAGACTAGGAGGGACAGGGAGGTAGGGACAAGATAGGGGAGGGAGGGACAGGGAGGGAGGGAGGAGATGGGAGAGTGTGGAGGGACAGGGGAGGGAGGGGATGGGGAGACTGGGGAGGGACAGGAGGAGGGGACAAGATAGGGGGAGGGAGGGACAGGGAGGGAGGGAGGAGATGGAGAGGGGGAGGGACAGGGAGGAGGGGACAGGGAGGGAGGAGGGCAGGGAGGGAGGAGATGGGAGAGTTTGGAGGGGCAGGGAGGGGAGGGATGGGAGAGTGTGGAGGGACAGGGGAGGAGAGAATGGGGAGAGGTGGGAGGACAGGGGAGGGAGGGGATGTGGAAAGTGTGGAGGGACAGGGAAGGAGGGAAGAGATGGGGAGAGGTGGAGGGACAGGGGAGGAGAGGAAGGGAGAGGTGAGGGACAGGGAGGGGAGGGAGGGGAATGGGGAGAGTGGGGAGGGACAGGGAGGGAGGGGATGAGAGGTGGAGGACAGGGAAGAGGAGGGGATGGGAGAGTGGAGAGACAGGAGGAGGGAGGGATGGGGAGAGTGTGGAGGACAGGGAAGGAGGAGGATGGGAGAGGTGGAGGACAGGAAGGAGGAGGAGGATGGTGAGTGAGGACAGGAGGAAGAGGGATGGGGAGAGTGGGAGGGACAGGGAGGGAGGGAGGAGATGGGGAGAGGGAGGGACAAGGAGGGAGGGAGATGGAGAGAGGTGGAGGGACAGGAGGGGAGGGGGAGATGGGGAGAGGGGAGGGACAAGGAGG